AACGAACCATATAGTTAATATGATATTTAAGTACAAGTTGTAATTTTGCACCTAAGTGCTGCTGAAATTCAAATGCAACGCTCCAATTTTAAGGGAGCTATTTACATAAATTTGATTTATAATTTTCTGATTAAATTAAGTCAAACATCATGCATATTGCTTAAAATAAAACTCCTATGATTTTCATTGAAATTTATATGGGGTACACAAAAACAATAACAATATCAACAAAGTTTGTATTTTGGAAAGTTGCATTTTTCAAATGAGAATGTAGCAACGGAATTAAAAAGTATGTTAAGGTTCTAAGATATTCTAACATTTGACCTATAAATTTTAGACAAATATGCCCAACCGGCTTTTTACTGTTTTCGATAAGTTCTCTATTAGTCCGTATACACGGTTATTATACTCTTCACACAGTAGTTTGTGAAGAGTATTATAGGTTCACTTTTGTCCGTCCGTTCGTCTGTCCGTCCGATGTCACGTTTTTTGTCAGCACGATAAGTCAAAAACGAAACATATCTTCTTGAAATTTTTAAGAAAAATCAAACTCTGTAAGGCGACGAAGCCTACCTATTGATTTTGAAAAAATCTGATAAAAAATACGGGGTTTAAGGGGGATTTGAAATTTAAAAAAAATTCATAAATTACAAACAAAAATCAATATCAACTTATTAATTTAAAAAAAATCTGATTAAGAATAGGGGGTTAAAACTTAAAAAAAAATCATAATATAAAAAAGAAACATGATATAAACTTGAAATTTTTAGGACAAATCAAGCTCTGTAAAGGAACGAAGCCTATTGATTTTTAAAAAATTCTGATTGAAAATGAGGGGTTTAAGGGGGTTTGAAACTTTAAACAAATCATAAATTAAAAACGAAACATGATATCAACTTAAAATTTATAAGAAAAATCAAGTTCTATGAATAAAAAAAAATCTGATTAAAAGTAAAGGGGTTAAGTGGGATTAAAATTTAAAAAAATAATAAATCAAAAATGTAACATAATATCAACTTGAAATTTTTTGAAAAAATCAAGCTATATAAGGGAAGGAAGTCTATTGATTTAAAAAAAAATCTAATTAAAAATGGGGGGTTTAAGGGGGTTGAAACTTTAAAAAAATCAAAAATTAAGAACGAAATATATCAACTTGAAATTTTTAGGAAAAATCAAGTCCTATAGGCGGACGAAACCTATTAATTTAAAAAAAATCTAATTAGAAGTAGGGATTTAAGCAGGGTTAAAATGTAAAAAAAATCATAAATCTAAAACGAAACATACCAACATGACATTTTCAGAAAAATACAAACTCTATCGGATGACGAAGTCTATTGATTTTTAAATAAATTGATTAAAAATGAGGGTCTAAGGGGGGGGGGGGGGGGGGGGGGGGTTAAAACTTTAAAAAAATCATAAATCAAAAACAAAACATGAAATCAACTTGAATTTTTTAGGAAAAATCAAGTCCTATAAGAGGACGAAGTCTAGTAAATTTTAAATAAATCTGAATAAAAGTAGGGAATTAAGTTGGGTTAAAATTAAAAAAAAATCTTAAAGAAGTACTATATCAAGTTAAAATTTTTAATAAAAATCCAGCTCTATAAGGAGATGGAGCCTATTGATTACTGAAAGAAAAAAATCTAAATAAAAATTTGGGGGGTTAAGTGGGTTAAAATATTTAAAAATCAAAAACGAAAAATGATTTCTACTTGAAATCTTTGTGGAAAAGTTAGATTTTGATCCCCAATTTTTTTTATATACATTTTTTTTATAAAAGTCGAGGGTTAAGAGGGTCTGTTAAACTGTGAAGAGTATACTATAGAAGGCCAAGCATTATATATCCTCATACTAGTTAGAGTTCACTATTAATTTATTACGTTACTGTAAAAATATTACAAATTTAGACAAATTTAATGTTCTTAAATCAACTAAAGTTCAACATTTTACAAATAATTATGTCAAAATTTCGATCACGATTCATTGTTAAAGAAATCCAAAATTCTATAAATGCTTACGTTGCACACAGCTGGTTGAAATAATCGCAGATTCTGTTAGACCTTTTAAACTTCATAGACGAATAGGAAAAAAGAAATGGCATAATACTGGTTTACGTTATTTTTATTAACAATTAACATTTTAGTTAATTCAGCAAGAATTACTAGTCTCACCAGTTTACAGATAAAGGCCATCAAGAAAATAAATCTTTTGTTTAATAAAAATGTGATTTTTCTTAAAAATTAGAATATTTTTAAACATTCGAAACTTTGTTATGTAAACCAATTTTCAGTAAATCTCTGAAGTGTATAGGGTCTAACATAATCTGCGACTCTTTCAACCAGCTGCGTGCAAATATATAGCGTTTTTAGAATTTTGGACACCCTATATAACAATCAATAAACAGTTATTAAAAATTTTACATAATTATTTGTAAAATATTGATCGTTAGTTGGTTCAACATTTATCTGGATTTAAAATATTTTTACAATAGTGCAATAAATTACTACTGAAATTTAATCAAGTTGTATTAGGGTGGCGCCAACCATTTTTTTTTTAGTTTTGAGTGGAAAAATGTTAGTTTTTGATGTTTTCAGTTCAAAAAAAAATTTTAAGAGGTTGCTCCAATTTTTTTTAAATGTCAAAAATCGTCAAAAGTCGATTTTTTGTTTGTTTTTTTCTCGTTGCTTGATTTTAAGTTCATCTAGTGGTATATTTTTATCCATTATTGTACTAAAAAAAAATAAAAATTGTATGGAATTTTAATTTGAGTATTAAAAGGTCGCTCGAAAAAAGATACAGTAATGCACTAATAAATTTAAATTTTGAACTGAAACTTTCAGAAACTTATTTTTTTAGGTCTTTAAAAGGTTACCGTAACAAGAAAATAAATAAAAACAAAAAAAATCGATTTTTGACGATTTTTGAAATTTAAAATTTGGAGCGACCTCTTATATTTTTTTGGAGAGGGTTCTTAAAACATCAAAAGCTAATATTTTTTCACACGAGACACAAAAAAAATATAGTCGTTTTTTTGCGCCACCCTATTGTGTATGGACTAATAATCTAAAAAATAAAAACCTGTTTCGGTAGTTTGGTCTAAAGCTTCCACGACAAAGTTAGAATAACTTAGAACCTTAATAAGCTTTTGAATTCCGTTGCTACATTCCAATTGACAAACATAGTTGATTGAGTTTTATTTTATGTGTAAAATAACTTTATTTTTTAAAATCCCGATATTTCCTAAACTTGAAAATACTTCATTAAAAGTTTTTCCTCTATAAACTAAACACTTTTTGTTTACGAAATTTCGATAACTTTAAACTACGGGAAAAAATTATTTCTTTTTACACTCTGTATTTTAACATTTATTTACTGACCGGTAAATATAATAAATCCAGCCTAGTGGATTTAATTAATTAAGGCATAAATTGCTGTGGCATAAATTGTTGTGTTGTACTTGAATTTTTTACTTAAAATAATGTCAAGAAACATTATTTTATTCGATAATTTCTGACACCCTGCATGTTAAATATAGAAGTCCAAATCAAATTTATCAAGAAAATAAAAATTATCAAAAAATTTTTGATGGACAACATGGAGATATCATTAACGGTAGAGATACAAGGTTGAAATTAGGGAAAAGTTTCGCTAGCTTATGTCAATTCTATTCAGCCCCGAATTGAAAAAATCTACAAGACTGTTTAAAACATTGGATAAAACTGGAAATTACGATTTTAAAAATGGAATATTGTCTACATTGTTTGGGCAACTTTATATTGTTGAGCACACCCAATATATTGACAGAACATGTATTAGATGGTTTATATTTGGAGCGAGCAAAGTCAACTTTGTTAATTCTTATGAGCAGCATATTTCATTATTTAATAGATAAATAAGTTTTATAATCTGCAACCAATTAAAAAAAAATATAATATATTTAAGTAGTGGTATATGGTAAAAAACAGTGTGAAAATCTAATATAACTGCAATAAGAAATAACAAATTTAGCTATGGTTGCTTGAAAATTAGTAGAAGGCCTGGAAAACTTTCGTTAAATTTGCCTTAACTAGGTATGTAGAAAAAAAATGAATTTTTCTAAACTCGAAATTTTTTATTTTTTAGATAATTTTGAAAACCTCTGCAGATACTTTTAATCTGAGGCAAAATGTAAATGAGTATAAAATAACTTTTCTCTAGTTTAACACACTAGTATATCTTACCGTTTAGAATATCCTCATGTTGGGAATTAAACAAGTAACCATCCTATATAGAAGTAAAAATATAAATACCCACTTATTAAATTCAAGTCGAAAAGGTTTATGTAGACAAAACTAAGATTAGCTTTTGAGAATTCGTAGTTGTTTATATCGATTTGTATTATGTCTGCAAATGTTTTTCTAGGAAAGATTGGGTGTGATAAATACAAGTGCAATATCTCGTATTTGCAATTGTTGATAAAAATTGTTTTATTGTCTCGTATGCGACTATGGAATAAATATAAATAAAACAAACAAAAATCGAAACTTGACATTATTTATATAATAACATACTTCAGTATAGTTTAGGAAAATATGCCAAAAAATTCTTTCATCTAAATTTATGAAGTGTTTTCCTTTTCGTGCAAAATTATGTAAGATACGTATACGATGTTTTGTACTTTCACCGACGATAGGCATATTGTTGCGATCATAATAAAAGTACGATATGGTACATACTTACCTATTAATTTTTATTATGTATTTTTTGTTTCAAATAAACTAAACTTGTTTTAATTAAAAAATTACAACTGTTAAACAATACATTAGTTAGCGCCTTATTTATACATATTAGATGCATTTTGTATGCCCAATAGTTAGAACATGCAGACAAAGAATATAATATTTCTCATTTTTCAAATAGTAACAGACAGCGGTTTCATCCTATCAGGAATCACCAGTGTAACTAATTTAATAAATGAGCTTACATAATTGAATCTATCGGCAAGAACAGTAAAAACAAATTTACGGAGATATATTAATCATGCCAGGAGAGATAGCAACACTTACGTTCTGAGCTGTTGCTATCTCTCCTACATATTTTTTTTGTGTTAATTATAATAAGTATAATCAAATTTAAGATACTCACCTTCTGGACTTTTAGCGATCTCTTTATTTATAACAACTTGATCAGTATGGTTTACATCCAGAGCTGCTAGTTCAACATCTAACTCGTCAAGAGTTTTACCTTGCTCTTCCTTGCTAACTCCTTTTTCGATCATCATAAGCAGCTTCGCAACTTTTGAAGTTTGGAACATATCCTGTGGTAACCTAACAAATATAAAATTGCGAACCAGTTGCGAATTATACCAACACCTGGATAAACTAGTCTTTAAAATTGCGCAGTCGTTCTCGAAAAATTGCGCATGTTTTACAGACCTTATTATCCACTAATACACTATTTTTCTGTTTTATAAATTAAGTACCTAAGGATAAATTAATGCAACAAAATTTTAATTCAATAGAACAATTAAGCACAACAGTACGAAAGCGTAAAAAGGTCACTTTTTAATTATATGTAAGTCGAAATTATGACTTATAAGTCGGAATTCTACTTATACCTCGGAATTTCGACTTAAGTCTGAATAAGGTTATTCTGAGATATAAGTCTGAATAACGTTATTCCAAAATATTATAAAAATCGGAAGTCCGACTTACAAGTTAGAATTTCGACTTACATCTCGGAATCCCGACATATAACTCAGAATTTATTCCAGAAAAAATAATTAAAAACTGGCGATGTGCCAAATATAATTGCGATTATGTAAAGCCTTCAGTTAGTTAAGGTACAAAAAACTTAAAAAAAACTCACCTATAAAATTGTTCATGTGTTTTTTTGGTATGCCCCATGAAAGTGGCAATTTGTTCCATTTCAATTTCGTTTAAGTTTAAAATTTGTAACACTGTAGCTATATGTTTCCGTAAGCGGGAAGACGTTAAACTATCAGGACGCTCGGCGCCACAATTTTTAGCGTATTTTTGTAGGATGCTTGACCCATTAATCCATCTATCTGCGGATCCAGTTAGTGCAAATAAGTACGGATTGCTATTGGGAACAACCAATGTTTTATTTCTTGTATCTAACATTATTTGTATATACTCTTGGATCTTTTGAGGAAAAAGAATTGGAACTGGCCGACTTCCCTTTCCTAATGTAACCACCCTTTTAAAATGTTTGCAAATTGTTTTTTGAGTTTCGGATAAAATATCAAAACATTCTTCAGTAGTATTTTCAGACTGCAAGTATGTTTCCACTTTTAAATATTGGACATCTCCAACACGCTTCCTGTTTAACAATATTGTAAGAACTAAACACACTTCTGATAGTTTTTTAAACTCGTCTATATTATTCTTATTTTGCATTAAAATTTGGGTGGCTTCATTTGCTGTTTTCTCACAATAATTTTTGAATAATAATATATCTTTTGATATTGGTATTTTTTTAGTTTTCATCGTATGTTTCTCATTCAAATCTTTAAGTGCTAAGCTTCCCATTTCAAATTTCCAATTTTTATCCACAAGTTCTTGAAATTGTTTTATACTCTTTAAACTCTTCTCATAATTTGTCACTGGTAACACTGGATCTTGTTTTAAAAGCAATGTTTTTGCAGAAGAACAAACTGCTAAAAGTATTGTTCTTAAGTGAAGTGCGAGCGAAGGTGCTTTAAAAGATTTTGTTGTGTCATCGTAATTGGATACTAACCTCCCAGCTGATACTACTTTATTAAAGTTTTCTGGTTGAAGAGCGTCTAGTAAGGAGTCAATCTGATAAATATCCTTTAAGGGAATTAAAAGTCTACCCAATTCGCGTAATTTATTTGCAACAACATTTTTTATGCTGGGTCTTTTGTGTTTCCTTAAATAGTCCTCTGCGTACTGGCACGCTATTATATCACTTTTGGCAATAAGAGAAATTCTATCTGCATGCATCGTAGTGAAAACTTCTTCTTTTAAACGTAATCTGTTTAAAAACGCCTTTCTGGACTCGGTAAATGATAAAATCGTTTGACCTTCACTAGCGTAACGTATATTTGAGTTTAAAACTTCTTTATTAAAGAAGTATTTTTTGGCGTGCCGGCTAAGTGATTTTTTTTTGTATAAGCCTTTGCAGTATTTGCATGGTAAAAAATCCAAGTATGAAATGGTTTTGCTTTTATACTTAGAAGGTCTTTCGACGGGCCTTATTATTTTTTCCGAGTAGATAGATATATTTCCCTGTTTTCTTAAATAGTCTATTAATTTTTTTCTCTCATAACTGCCTTTTGGTAATGATTTAATTTTACATACACTTTCATTCTCTTCGTGATTTCGAAATAGGTGACGAGAAAAATTTGTTATATGTTTGTTACAAATAGGGCATAGATCTTTTTTGTTCCACATTCGATGTTGTCTGCAGCTTAACTCTACCGTAAATCCATTATCCTTAAAAATGAAAAAAAAAACATTATTATGTATTATTTTTGACACGCTTTGACTTCGCAAACTTAAGGTTATACCTGGACTATTGTGTTACTGCCCGAGTGGGAGGAAAATTGGTCCGGCCCGCAGATATTTTTTTCTTAACCATCCTCCCGAGTCCTACCGCTTGCCGAGTCCTTACTGGCTGCGTATGCGCGTACCGATCTTTGATTTGATTGAAAAGTAGACATATTTCTTATTATTGTCGTAGCAGTTAAAAATAGGTTATGTTAAAAATGCAGAAAGATGATATAATAATAATAATATATATTCAAGAAAATATAAATAAATAGGAATAGTTACAAGTATAAATACAAAGTTTAATAATTATTCAAATGAATACTTAGTATAAATACAGAATAAATTAGACATTGATAACTCACTGATGCATTATAATGTCTGTGTGCAAGCTAGTTTATGTTTCGATTTAGAATGATATAGAAATAAATAAATAATAAAAGAAAAAAGTATCTTCGGTTTCTCACTTTTGTAAGCAAGGTATAGGTATACTTATAAGTAAAAAATAGAGTCCGGTACGCTTTAGGTACGACGGAATTTGAAAAATTAATTTAAACAATAAAAAGTACCCATTCTATAGAATAAATTTCTAAAAAAATGGTGATAACAGAATATTTTCTAAGAAAAGTTAAGATTTTGATGTTCCTAACCTAACATTTTATCATTTTCTTACAGTTTTGCCAAGAGTTTCAGTACTTTACACCTTATACTACATAAAATATGTGAATATTAACAAGACTGAAATATTTTTATATCGTAACATTAATTAATTAATTAGGGCAAGGAAAATCTTTATAAATGAATTTCAGTTAGTTACAAGATAAAATACGTAAATATTGATATTACCCATTCTTTAATTGTGAAAAAAGGTACGATATAGCCTATAAAATTGTAAATTTGATAAAATTTTCTTATCCTTTTATTTAGAAGTACACAATATGTAATGGGTACTTTTTATAGCCCAAGAGCCCACTGCAAATTTTTACCGTCATCTGATAACGAAATGAAATATACCCCAAAAGCATGGAAAAACATTGTACTTTACCAAATGACGCCTGTGCCAAACCTAATCCTAAACAAAGTGGCTTAAAAAAATTATTTTATATTAAAAAAATCACATAAGGCATGATAGCGCTAATTTTGTTTGCCCTTAAAGTTTTCCAGAAAATAACATTCAAATATATCTTGATATATATCATTTAAGAGAAACATTTTCTTCCTCTTAACATTGCACAAAAATATCTATCCATGATTAGTAGGTAAAAATAATTAAAAATGTGAATCAATGTTTGCTGATTTAAAAATTTATTTGTATGCCTATTGTTGTGATTCATTTTTACAGGTTGCCATAGAAACGACAAAAAGACTACTATGATTATGGTTTAAAATTATTGTCTAACAAGAGTTTATAATTATTATTGACTATCTCTGCAAATGATTTATACAATGCTATCCTTCTTCCTTTCATACATAAACATGGTTTAAAAGGTAGGTAAAAATATTAATAATTCAGGTTTAAAAGCTAGTTTCACAATGAATTAGGATTGTAATTTTTAGGGAATACACATTTGTCGTTGTCATGTATTATGTGATTTTTTGAATATAAAATATTTTTTTTTAACCACTTTGCTCAGGATAGGGATTGTCACAGGTGCAATTTGGTAAAGTACAATGTTGTTACATGCCTTTAGAGAATATTTCATTTCGCTATCAGATGACAGTCGAAATTAACAGTAAGCTCTCATACTATTAGGGTAATCAATTTTTTTTCTAAATTTCGAGATAACTAAAGCGTACAGGAGCCAAATTATAGGTTCAGTATTTGTATAGTTCTTGATTCATTCATTTACTAACAATTTTAAAATCTAAATTTGTAAAAAGTAGAAGAATCTCGAATTGAGTATTGGTAAAACAATCCTCATAAGGGCATCGAAAGAATGGAATATTTTAACCCTACTGAAAAAAAAAGGAAAATACTGAACACCTCAAGGTTGGAGGTTCCAATGAACATTTTATGTAAACCCAACAATTAGAAAATAAAATTGTACGAAACAAAATCAACTTTAAAAGGTACCACCCCAATTATTTCAAACGCGTAAACGCAACATGTGAGGGACTCGGCAAGCGGTAGGACTCGGCAAGCGGTAGGACTCGGGAGGATCGTTAAGAAAAAAATATCTGCGTCCGGCCCGATGGCTTTATTGCTCTTAGATGTGCTTGCATGATTGTTATTTTTATTAATTTCCTCCATCACTTCATCATTATCATTATCTTCTACTGACGTACTATTCCCTACTATACTAGATTCATTATCACTTTCTTCTGATAATGCATTCAAAGCTTTAGTGTCTTCTTTTTGGTTGGGCCGCCATGACGTCTACAAAAAAGCTATAAATTCCTTAATTTTTCATTTACTTACTGTATATTACCGATGATGGTAAGCTTGCAGATTCAGTTAGATTTGAACTTTCTGATCCATTGGGAGTGTACTCAAATTCTGGGATATTTTCCTGGAATATACAGGGCATTTATGACTTTGTAAATCAAACTTTGGGTATAGATATAACTTAAAAAATAATAAAAACAATAATAGTCTTTGTAATGGCAACTTAAAGAAATTTATACAGTGAGCATCATAAGTCTTACCCTAACTCGTTACTGGAGTCTTATTATGAAAATCGCCGAGACACGTCGATTTTATTTCTATAATGTACTTTTTTATATGAATAGTTTACCCCTAATTTTATCCCTTACTGAGGGGGAGCAACCCTTTCGAAAAATTTAAATGGCATGGGTTGGTGAGTGATAGCTCATTTGAAAGGAGGTTTTATTTTCTATTTAACCGTGCAAAAAATTTTGAAATTTGCTTTATTACGTGATGATTTATTAATGTTTAAAAATAATAAAAAAATCACACAGGAAAGCAACTAAACTAACAGTGACCTTACCTATTATTACAATAAATGTTCCCCTTTGACCTCCTGGCAAAAATAAAGTCTATTTTCAGTTCCTGCCTGACCATTTGCAAAGTTTCTCGAGTAATTGTTGCACACACCTCCGTAATACGCGCTCTTAACTCCTGACACGAAATGAAGCAAATTTCAAATTTTTTTGCACGGTTGAATAGAGAATAAAACTCCCTTTCTAATGAGCTATTACTCACCACCCCATGCCATTTAATTTTTTCGACAGGGTTGCTCCCATCCAGTAAGGGATAAAATTAAGTGTAAACTATTCATATAAAAATGTACATTGAAGAAATAAAAAAATCGACGTGTCTCGGCGATTTTCCTAACAAGACTCCAGTAACGAGTTAGATATGGGGGGGGGGGGGGGGGGGGGGTAAGACTTTTGATGCTCTCTAGGGTGACCCAAAAAAACCGACTATTTTTTGTTTTTGAGTCTCGAGTGAAAAAATTTTAGTTTTTGATGTTTTAAGATTCCTCTCCAAAGAACAGCTCAAAAAAATTTTTAAGAGGTCGCTCCAAATTTTTTTAAATTTCAAAAATCGATTTTTTGTTTGTTTTTATTTTTTTTTCTCGTTACGGTATCTATATATTGTGCTTAATTTTTAGTTCACCTTGAGGTGTATTTTTATCGATTATTGTACTAAATAATTAAAAAAATTGTATGGAATTTTAATATGAATATTAAAAGGTCGCTCGAAAAAATTTAAAGTAATGCACTAATAAATAAAAAAAAAATTATGATCGACCTTTCAAAATTAAAATTTTGAATTGAAACTTTCAGAAACTTATTTTTTTTTTGTCTTCAAAGTGATACCGTAACGAGAAAAAAAATAAAAACAAAAAAAAATCGATTTTTGACGATTTTTGAAATTTAAAAAAATTTGGAGCGACCTCTTAAAAATTTTTTTTTGAGCTGTTCTTTGGAGAGGAATCTTAGAACATCAAAAACTAACATTTTTTCACTCGAGACTCAAAAACAAAAAATAGTCGGTTTTTTTGAGTCACCCTAATGCTCATTGTATAGAAAAGATACACTATTTCCGATTTCAATCTATGTTTGTTATGATTTCGGAAAATATGCTTATTTATGATGTAGATTTATCCTCTACACTGCATGTAGCTTACTCTTTTGCAAATCTAACTTTGGTTTTGCACAAAAATGTGTATTATTTACTGCAAAAACAACTGCATAATCTAAAATTTATAGCAAAATTATGTTTTGAATAAAAACAGTTAACAAAACTTGTTTATTATACAGGGTATGTTAAACAAAAACTCATTTCTAACAAACATTTCTTAAAAACCTCAAATGTTCATTTACTTTTAAAACAATTCTAAATAATATTATAGGGCATCTTGAAATTATTTACAAAAAAATGGTTTCAATTTGGTGCGCCACTGATGCGAGACATCTGCCTATTAAATAGGCTCTCAATTGGATTAGAATCAGTCCACAGCTCTGACCCGATATAGAATGCATTTATTTCACATAAGACATTGAAAAGTAAATATTTTTAATAAAAAATAAGTATCTCTTAAAAGAAGCAAAATATCTAAAATCCGAAAAGTTAAATAGTTAACTGTTGATTGATCTATGTTCATATAAGCATTTAAGAAATGTTTCTCAAAAATTCTGCTTTACACCCCCTGTATAATAAGTACCTAATTTTAGTAGCACACGTTTCTGATTCCGATTTATAACGATATAAGAATTTTTATATTATACAGTTGTTTTTTACAAGAGTCTTACTTCTACGATTCGAATTTAAAAATCTATATCTTTGACATTTTTCATTAATTCGTGGGTTAAACAAGTTCTACTAAATAAAAAGTCATATTGTTCTTAGTTACATTTTTAGTTAAGATTCTTGAGTCGGTGCGGATTTTTTTATTTGTAACTTCTTTCATCTTTGTAGATTCTTTCCATTTTTTAAAGGATGACCACGGATCTGCATCATTTTGGTCGAATTCATAAGCTTTATAGTCCAAACCATTTTTCTCAACATTTTTCTCCTTTTTATTAGTTTTGCCTTCAGCAACTTTACTTTCTATATCCACAATTCCTTTCGGGTATTCTTTATCAACTCCAGTTCTCACACCTATCTCTATAAAACTGTTTTCTTCAACATCCTGCTTACTAGCTTGTTTTCTTTCTGTTTTATTGTTATGTTTTTTATCTGAAATAATCATCAATAATTTCGTTAGGTGGTGTATACATACAGGGAGGTCGACTTAAGAGATCCCGTCATATGTATTTTCTTGAAGTCTGTCTAATAGATATTAATAAAAGATGCTTGTAACCAGGATCATTTATTTAACGCTTTGCTTCAATATACTTTTTTTACTATAAATATTATTTGATGCATAGGTATACCGGGTGTCTCAGTTGTATTGTTCCAACGCCATATTTCAGTTGTTTAAAAAAAAAAAAATTTAAAATTTTAATCGTTTTATATAGACTCAATGTCTTCAAAAATAAACATGCTAACCATATTCATTCACTTCCGGTTTTACCGGAAACGAACCTAACTTTTGAATTTTAAATGACACCCTGTATTTTTAATTTAAAATTTGAATTCTACTCAAAATTTCCTTTTCAACGAGGTAATATACTTTGTATTATGGCTTAATAACAGATTTTAAAAAATATCAAAATAACGAAGAAGGCTTTGAAATCAACTAAAGTACTTGCAGCACTTGCTGAAGTATTAAGAACTTCGTGAACTTTTGCGTCGATCCAAATGTTGCCTGGGACAACAAGGACAGCATTTTGAACATTTTCTATAATATTTAGGATTTTGGTTTTTCGTGTGAACTGTGTTAAAATGATAATTTTATATTATTACTATACGTTATAATACCCCATAATACAAAGTGTATTACCTCGTTAAGAAGGAAATTTTGCGTAGAATTCAAATTTTAAATTAAATATACAGGGTGTCATTTAAATTTCAAAAGTTAGGTTCGTTTCCGGTCAAACCGGAAGTAAATAAATATGGTTATTATGTTTATTTTTGAGGACATTGGGTCTATATAAAATGTTTAAAATTTTGAATTTAATTTTTTTGAAACAACTGAGATATGGCGTTGGAACAATACAACTGAGACACCCGGTATATAGTTTGTTAAAAAAAAATAATATTATTTGAAAAATAGAATTTTGATGTTTAATGAAGACTTTATAGCTTACTTTTTAATATTTGAAAAGCAATATCGGCTATAGCTACCATTTGGGAACGCACGTCTTAAGGATACGACAGGCAGCAGGCGGCAAATCCTACCGTACTAAAAGTGATATCGTCTGTCGCATCTTCCCAAATGTGTTTTATATAATTACAGTAAGCAATGGGCTCAATGGGCCAGTAATTTGTTTTGTTTGGGCTCATACCGTTTTCGAGATATGGCCTCCGAAAATATGCGATATGGGGGGTCGTTTTTCTACTTTATGGGATATATTCGTTATTTACGCTTAAAGAAGAAACTTCTTTAAATAAAAATTACTTACGAAATTATTTTCTATAATTTTTGTACCATACATAATTTTTCTAGAGTGGTCCGTATTAGAGAAATTTGGCAAAAAATGCAAAATTCATTTTTTTCAGAGAATTGTTAAAATAAAAGTTGCTTGTGATGTAATTTTCTATAATTTTTGTCAAATACAAATTTTTCTTTAAATGGACCGTATTCAAGATATTAAAGGAAAACCCATGACTTACAAAAGATCATTTATAACACACGCAAAATATAGAAACTTTTGTTAAATTAAGATGAATATTAGAAAGATTTTACACATTTAAGATGAAATTTAGAAAGGTCTAACAAATCATAAGGTGCTTACGTAACTTACGGAAGCTCAAAATTATTTCCAGAAACCAGAACACAAAATTATACATACTTATAAGTACTACAAAATTGACTAAAGTTATATTCAATCTCATTAACATGTAAATTATTGACTTTACAAGTTTTAAGTTCGAAATATTCTTGCATACCTTGTATCCTCTTTATACACTGTCCGCAAAAAGTCCGCATCAAATGGGATTTCTTTTATTATTAGAGAAAGCGAAATTTGATAACGCCATTAGTTTTTGATTGTCTAGAAACTAAAATTGCTGTATACCGCACTATACTCGGATCGCAATCGACACGGAATAATAAATCAAAATTGTATGGGAGTTTTACAGCATAGACGGCTCAAACAAAATCTGTTAAAAGGTGTAGTAAATTTAAGAATTTTACCTGTGCCGCCCTGTTTTGTTTTTATTTTAATTAAGTATAAGACTTTGATGAGCGCACGGTTGGGTGGATTAGGGCGTATTTGTTTGTATTATTATTTGTTTTTACTATTTTAAATTTAAATAATTATAATTTAACCGCCGAGGTGCTTGTTTTAGGTGAGTCCCACATTTTCTAAAGTACCTACGTACCGAAATAATACTCAATAATACATAGGTATTCAAAAAATATATTTTTAAATGATGATTTTATATACTTCGTAAATAATAATATAGGCACCCACAACTGAAATTTCCTGATCTGACAGAAATATTACTCCGAGGCGATTGCGATTTGACTATAGTTGTGCAACTTGAATTACCTAGCAAATTTGACATGTTTAATTAAAAATGTCAAAAAGTGCCCTTATTTATTAAAATTTCTAAAAAATTGTTTAGTTTTCATTTTCTCTCTAGTACCTACCAAAATTTTATCTCTCTACAATAACTTTTAATTTTTGTCAGTTTTATATTTTGCTTTAAAAACTAATATTCATAGTGCTACAAACGCAATCTTTGATGGATGGTTAATTTATTTTAAGAATTTTACGAATCGGTGGTTTTATGGCAGAAGGTGCCATATTAGCACTGACAAAAAGGGCACATATGACACTTTTAGCCATAAAACCACAGAAATAACAGCATGTTTTTATTATTCTTAAGTGCGTAAATGTAGATTAAGTAATATACGACACTGTTGCTTCACTACGTAGAAGCGAATGGTGCAAATTTTCAACATTTTTACAAAAATTATAAATTATTGTAGAGTGATGAAATTTTGATCCTCGATAGAAACTGCAATTTTTTTTTAATTTTAATAAATAATGGCACTTTTGGACATTTTAGTTAAACATTTTAAATTTGACTAGTAATGAATTTGCACAACTAGTTCGGTACACCTCAATTTTGGTTTATAGACAAACAAAAACTAATGGCGTTATTAAATTGTGTTTATCTCTGATAATGGAAAAAAATCGCATTTGATCCGGACTTTTTTACGGACACGGTGGAATACGGAGTACTCATTATTAATTTTATAATGCGATCGCAGAAATAGATTTATGCTATAGTATTATCATTGCTTAACCTTGAATTGACAAAACTGAACACCATATTATTTCCCAAAAGAACAATTTCGAAGTATGAACCTAGAAAACATTTAAATATGGGTAGAGATTCAAAAAATCTGATGTGTCCAACACATGACTTTCCTATCTAGTTATTAGGTACAGGTCCTTTTCGGTTATTTTGTACAACCTATTGTATTTTCTAAGCGCAAATAACGGATATATTCCATAAAGTAGCAAAATAACCTCTTATAAAGTACCTCCCCTCCAGATGTTCCGACTATGCCCAAAATATATTCAGCTCACTGCAGGGTAGATTAAAGCTTAAGTTTATAATTTGGTGTTTTTCTCTTTATCTGTTTTTGAGTTAGGTTCAAAATTAAAAATTTTCAGTATTCCTCAAATTTCTCGAATACGGTCCATTTTAGGAAAATTATGTATACTGCAGAAATTATAGAGAATAATATTTCAAACAACTTTTATTCAAAGAAGTTTCTTCTACAAGCGTAAATAACAGATATATTTCATAAAGAAAAAAATCGACCCCCTAAAAAGTACCCCCCCAGATGTTCCGACTATGTCCAAAATCTATTCAGCTCACTGTAGGGTAGATTAAAGTTATAAGTTTATAATTTGGTGTTTTTCTCTTTATCCATTTTTGAGTTAGGTTCAAAAATTCAAAATTTTCAGTATTCCTCAAATTTCTCGAATACGGTCCATTTTAGGAAAATTATGTATACGTTAAAAATTATAGAGAATAATATTTCAAACAACTTTTATTTAAAAAAGTTTCTTCTCCAAGCGTAAATAACGGATATATTTCATAAAGAAGAAAAACGAACTCCTATAAAGTACCCCCCCCCCCAGATGTTCCGACTATGCCCAAAATCTATTTAATTCACTGTAGGGTAAATTTAAGCTTAAGTTTATAATTTGGTGATTTTATCTTTATCCGTTTTCAAGTTAGGATCAAAATTCAAAATTTTCAGTATTCCTCAAATTTTTCGAATACGGTCCATTTTAGGAAAATTATGTATAGGGCAAAAATTATAGAGAATTATATTTCAAACTTTTAATTAAAAAAGTTTCTTCTCTAAGCGTAAATAACAGATATATTCCATAAAGAAGGAAAACGACCCCCTATAAAGTACCCCCCCAGATGTTCCGACTATGCCCAAAATCTAATCAGTTCACCTCAGGATGGATTAAAGCTTAAGTTTAAAATTTGGTGTTTTTCTCTTTATCCGTTCATGAGTTATCGAGTATACAGACACACACACACACACACACACACACACACACACACACACACACACACACACACACACACACACACACACACACACACACACCCACACACACACACACACACACGCACGCACGCACGCACCCACGCACCCACGCACGCACGCACCCACACACACAAACACACACACAAACACACACACACAAACACACACACACACACACACATCATCGCGAAAATAGTCAAAACGGATTCAGGGGACCTCAAAACGTAAAAATCCGTCAAAAAATCGAGGTCGAAAATTTTCATGATTACTATACTTTCCTTATCTGTATACAGATAGGAAAGTAAAAATTATAGAGATCGATATCGCAAACAACTTTTAGTTCAACAATTTTCATAGAAATCAGAATTTTGCACATTTTGTCAAATTTCTCGAATACGGACCATTTCAGGAAAGTTTGACATGAAACAGAAATTATAGAAAATAATATTAGAAGTAACTTTTATTTGAACAATTTTTTTTTTCCAAACATAAATAACATATACATTCCATAAAATATAAAAACGGCCTCCCATAAAGTACCCCCCAGATGTACCGACTTTGTCCAAAATCTAATCATTTTACGTCAGGCCGAAATAAAACTTAAGTTTAAAATTTTATGTTTTTTTCTTTATCCGTTTTCGAGTTTTCTTCAAAATTCGAAATTTACACATTTTCTCAAATATCTCGAATACGGTCCATTTTAGAGAAATTATGTATAGAGTAAAAATTATAGAAAATTATATTACAAACAACTTTTATTTGAACAATTTTTATAAAAAAATATTTTTTTTTATTTTGTCAAATTTCTCGAATACGGACCATTTTAGGAAAATTTTGTATAGAAAAAAAATTATAGATAATCAAATTATAAGTAACTTTTATTTAAAGAATTTTCTTCTCCGAACGTAAATAACAGATATATTCTTTAAAATATAAAAATGACCACCCATAAAGTACCTCCCCAGGTTCAGACTCTGCCCAAAAACAAATCAGTTCATTGGACGATGGAATGAAGCTTAAGTTTAAAATTTGGTGTTTTTCTGTGTATCGGTTCATGAGTTATGCGACACACAGACACACACAGACATCATCGCGAAAATAGTCAAAACGGATTCAGGGGACCTCAAAACGTAAAAATCCGTCGAAAACTCGAGGTCGAAAAAAATCATGATTCCTATACTTTCCTTATATCTGTATACAGATAGGAAAGTAAAAAGTGTGTTTTTCACTTTCATCGTCATCCTGAATTGTAAAAAATTAAGACAATATTTATGTTTATGCAAAGAAATAATTCCAAAAATTGTAACCGCATATTTTTTCAATTATTTCCTAAAAAATTGCACTCGCTCAAAAATTGGTAAAAATTTAGCTTGGAACGAATCTATTAAGTAGCTAGTATAAACTGTGTAAGTTAAAAATATGTATAGTTTTTCTTTAATTAGCGAGTATTCGACAACGCGACCTTTGACAGTTTTTACTTCAAATCAAATAGATAACCCGAAAAGTATAGTGCTTTATTTAAAAAAAAAAGTTAAGTACTGTGAAGTGCCCTGTATATCTCAATAGTCTATATAATAAAAATATCTTATTACAAGCAGCTTTTTTGGTATGTTACGCGAGTTTAAATTTTTTTAAAAGTAGGTTTAGAACGTTTCGTGTGTTGCGTCCTTTAGAATAAAAAATGTACTTACCTGTGTGATCTTCAGAATTTTCAAGACTTGGTAACAAACACAATATTTTTTTTCCACCAGACATGACAAACCTTATACAAGACGAGGTCTGAAACACTATAACATTTGGTTTTAATTTGCAGCTCGTGGCCACATAATATTTGTTTTATTCAAATTTATTACATGATAAAAATTATCCGCGCTGTATCCCTTGTTTTGCTTAGTTGCAAAATAGCTTCCCTTGGAATGAATCTATGTATAGGGAATATGAATTCCATTATTTTTTTAATGTGTGGATATATTTTTAATTTGACACATTATAGACCCAAGATACTTAGAGTATTTTAGTAAGAATACCTTTTTGGATATTGTTATTCGCAGATATGATTAACATATTGACCTTAAAAGTAAAGTAGCGCAGAAGGGTACGATCAAAATTCTAAGTGAGCGCTTGGAGTTTTTAGGATACTTTTACACATTTTAGAAAATACACTAAGATGTAATTGATAAAATATTGAACCCTAATATTTATACAGTTTTACAAAACCAGTAATGGGAAATATACAGGGTGTCCCATGACGAACTTTTGCGGCAGATTTCTCGAAACACCTTTTGGAAATTGTTAAAAATTTGGCGATGGATGCAATTAGGTTAAAATATTTTCAAGATTTCACTTTCGGTTATACTGGAAGTTCACGTCATTCTGCTCATTTTAAATAGGACATCTTATAAATTATTTTACTTTTAGATTCCATGTAAAATTCCAGAAACAGTTTATGTATATTATCCTATGCTAAAGTCTAACAATTTTTGATATATTTTTGATTTGATACCAAAAATGACGTATGTAGGACTACTAACAAGTAACTATCAATTTTTCTTTTATTAAATTGCTTTGGTTTTCTTCTAGAAGGGCAGTCTACTTTAGAGAACTTTATTGATATTTTGATAATAAATGGTGATTAAAAACTTACCTGACATAGTGATTGAAAACTCAGAATAATAAATTTAATTAAAAAAATATATAAGAATAGGGAGTATCCATTTGAAAAAAATAACTTTTGGGGATTTTTTTCAATTTAATTTTAGTTTATTTTTTGATCATCATGTATTTGTTTATTACCAAAATATCAACACAGTTCACTGAAGTACATCTATGAAAAGGCTACCCTAATTAAATAATAAATCCTTTCATAAAAAAGATATTGGTATTTTTGACATAAAATTTAAATTATAAAAAAATGTTAGACTTAAGGATATTATAAATTAAATTTGCCTAGAATTCTAAAAAGAATCTATATAAATAAAAAAGTGGGTGTCCTATTTTACAAAAAAACAAGTTGACATCAATTTCAGTATAACCGGAAGGGCCACCTTTTTAAAAATATTTTAACCGGATTGCACTAATAGACTTTAGTAAACAGTGAAATTTTCAACATTATTCAAATCTATTTTTCAAGAAATTGATCGGAGTATATTTTGTCTTGGGACATCCTGTGTACTGTAGACAAAAAATACTCTTTCTATCCGTGGTAATTAGTCATTTATACACTTTCTTTAAAAAGACTACCTATCACCTACCCCTTTGGGCACGGTTTAAATTCAGAAATTGAGAGCTGAAGGCGGTGGCTAGCCCTAAGGGAGTAGGCGGCAAAATATGCTATTTTGGGTTCTCTTGGTATCACTTAATATAAATATTTAAGAAGACATTCCCCATAATACGTTCGCCATCAATTTAAGAAACCGAATTTTCACTTTAAAAATATTAACATAAATTGCGTTATTAGGTTTAACGAACTGGCAAAATTGCCGGATATCATGTGTACAATATATTTATATATAAACAATGTGTGATCTCAGGTTAAGACAACTTGTCTTAGATCACTACTTAACATACTTTTTGTAAAAAAAAAATTCTACTTTTCTCTATTAATTTAAAACACTGTAAGAGTTTTTATTAGTACGAGTTTCTATTATCAACAACTAGTACAAAACCAAATTTTCACGTTAAAATCATTAACATATATTGCATTATTAGCGTTAACGAACTGGCAACATTGCTGGATATCATGTGTACAATATATGTATACATATACAATATGTGTTCTCAGGTTAAGACAATTTATCATAGATCTCTGCTTGACAACATACTTTTCGTATAAAAAAATGTCTACTTTTCTTTCCCCTCTCTTTAAATTATGGAAAAACAAGCATATTTAGATTATTTCGTAGCAAATAATCTATTTTAAGCCTTTTTATCCGGGTGGATCGCGGATCGCAGGTTATCTAAAACATATAAGGATCTCATTTTGCACGAATACAAGTATATATATAAGTACTTTTATATATTATCATACTGTATATAATTTTTGTAGTTGTTATAGTTCTTTGAACTTGGATATAATTAGGTTAAGGAATGTATTTTATTATTTAATATTATATTTTATAATGTGTTGATTCGACACTTATTTCGACGACGTAACAATTGTGTAGGTTGGTTGAAATAAGTAATCGAAGAATAAAGGATTCAATAAATAACTTTCGTATAATCGAGTTGATTTTTATTTGCTATTAATAATACATGGTGACGTAAAACATCCAAAGACTAGTACCATCACAGAATAATGGGAGCATGTAGAAAAGAAGAATTAAAAAATTTAAAAATGTGTGACGTACAAGACATGGGCTCTGCTGTTTTAGTCAATATAACAAAGATAAAAACTAAAGTTCCTAGAAAGTTTACGGTTACTGGAGATTTTTATGCAATATTTAAAAAATATAACAGTCTTCGTCCTTCAAATATACCCCACGATTATTTTTTTACGAATTATCAAAAGGGCAAGCGCACAGTACAACCAGTAGGAATCAATAAATTTGGAAATATGGCACAACAAATTGCTGAATAATTGAAGTTACCAGATCACAAAAATTATACAAGCCACTGTTTTCGGCGTTCATCTGCAACAATTCTAGTTAATTCTGGAGCAGATATAACAAAGCTTGAAAGACTCGGCGGATGGAAGTTAACTACAACCGCGGAAGGATACATCGATAACAATAATACTTCAGACTCAGTGGTTTTTGTAGCAGAACGTGCGCAAGAAGATAATATCTATCAAGCTGCTGCTGCTACACCGAGGCATTTACCTAATATTTATCAATTACCATCCACCCTGCAAGGTAATGATGATTTAATAAAGAATGTTCCTATATTTCCGCCTACATCATCCGACATCTCATCTCAAATTTTTAATACACAAGCAGAAGCACCCGTTAGTCAGCCTGAAAGGAGTACCCCCAATCCGTATGATTTATATGAAGATATAAGTGACCCGGAAGAAATTGGCAACAAAATAGACTCAAAAAATGTTAGTGAAATTAAACGTTTTAAACAAAAATTAAAGTGTTTTTAATATTAAACAACAGCTTTTTAAATAAAGAGAAAAACATGTAAGTTTAGAAAATAAATTAAAAAGACTTCAAAAAAAGTGAAATAATTCAAAACGAGCTTAACGAGTCGTCAAAATTTTGGCTAATTATAGCAGATAAACTTAAAAGTGCCAGACACGTATGTTATCCATTGGGTAGTTGGAGGTGTCAAAGTATTCTAAATTTTCTTTTATATCCTCGTAGAAGTTGGGTGTGTATATCTCGAGAATTAGAAAATCAGTATCTGTGTACAATAAGGTGGCATCTTCTCCGTATTTGCTTTTAATATATCCATAATAAAAATCGTATATTACTGTTTTTGATATGTCCAATACAGAGAAGCCTACGTACAGGGGCTTGTCGTGCATACATTTGGTTTTTCCCAATTGGGCTGCCACCAAGTTCTCATTGAAGACAGAACAAGATTTGAATTACGGTTTGGCTATTAATTCTCTTGCTCCAATTGACCTTGTTTTAATGGTCCACCGTGTACAAAGGCGAATGTCTTTTCTCTTCTTTGATTTAGGTTTTATGTTTAAAACTTAAGTACATTTATACATCAGGGTAATTTTTTAGTCGACTTTGGTATAAGTATGTCTATAAATTAAGTTATTCTTCTTACGAATATTATACTAATTTTTTTCCAATATCCTTCCGTTCTATACTGTACTGAATTTGATATATGACTTTCTTGTGATATTCAAAATCACAGCATATTGATTCGGGAATATATATATTTTATAAAAAAATACTACAACTATGATCAAATATTTTTTAATATTATAGTTTATCCCAATATATCATAAATTAATTAACATTTCAACCATAATTGACTTGGCACATATGAAACCATATGAACGGTATGGCCAGGTGAAATTAAATTTTATGAATCGTGACGTGGACCCTTTTACACTTGCGCCATTTCTATATATGTTGTCCTGTGTAGTACTTGGAATCCAAAGACTAATAAATAAATGAAAATAAAAGAAATGGAATTACCCCCCCCCCCCCCCCCCCCCCCCCCCCCCCCCCCCGGGAAATGTTAACACTAATTATTCTTTAAATTGCAAATTTCTCTGGATACTTTTGGTGACCCACCAATGCGAAGCACCGTACACAATTTCAAATTTTCAGAAACATATCACATCCATACATTTCATGGTTGTTTCGCTGTATTAATTTAGCCTACCTTAGTTACCAGAGTCGTAACAATTTGATTCTCTTTTTTCATTTGATGGAAGTATTCAAACAAACGATTGTTTTTTCATTATTTTTATTTCGACCCTTTATTAAAACCTACAATAATATTTTAAAATTTATTAAGAATACACCGTTAATTGTTATTCCAGTTAGTTATTCTTTCTTCTGATTTTTGTAATAGTTATCACATAGCGATATGAAAATTATATCTGCCAATACCCTTCCAATCTAGGCTATACTGCTTATACTGGACTGTCTTATTTCTGTGACATTGTGTACAAAATTTAGGCGAGCAATCGCTACACTCACAATAGCGCGAGCCTCCAAATAAATCGCTGCTGGGCATATTGACAAATTGTTCAGGAACATAATTTTATTTATATATTTTATATAAATGTCTATCAGTGAATTGTAATCAGCGCCCTCTATGAATTTTATTAAAAACAAATGTATTCGTTTTCAAACAGTTCTCAATACATAAAATAGGTCACATAACGTTTCTATATTCTACAATAAGTATATAATATATAATCAATCAAACTTCACCTTGTTTACATTTTAATTCAGTCATTGTGACTAATATTTTTCATATATAATTTAATATTTTAAAATATCCAATATTTATTAATTGCCCTGCACTGGCAATTCTAAGCGCAAGGAAACATATGATGCAAGTACATGTGCACTTCCGACCTATCCTAACAAAAAAAGGTTCTGTTATATGCTTTATATTTCGTTTATTATTAATCGTAAATAAAACAGTCTTGAAAACATGATCACAGTTGACCCCATTCAGTTCAACCGCTCGAGCTCTTGCATTGCAACATGTATTTATGGCATATTTCTGGCGAGAAAAACAAGTTCACACCGAATCACTTTTGAATGTCTCTGTTTTATTGTCTAAAAAAATCTCTTTTTTGCATAAACCATATTCACTTGTAGCTCAGCTCATAAAACATTTTTTATGTTAATCATATGTAAACAAATGTATCCCATAAACATGTAATTAATACTTTAGCTGAAAACTTTGAATACTAATTTTAACAGGAATTTTTGTCTTAATTTCACTAGTAGCACAGTGGCGGGTAATATATTTATTTAAAACTTTTAGTCCAATTCACTCATTTTTATTAATCTGTCTCTTTAATTGCACAATAGCATACACATTTAAATGGTCCAATTGGGGGAATCACAAATTTTTGATCACTTTTTTTAATCATTTCAGGATTTATGTCTGCCCAATATAGCTCGTTTGCTGAAAGTTCTTGAAGGGAAGATGTTTTATAAATAATTTTTAATTCATTCTCTGTCTTCTGAATTACCATTTCTGGAGTGACGCACCGATAGCTCAT